AATTATTCACTGATGCAGCACAGGTGATTTGTGAATTCAATTAGTGTAACTCATAACTTGATTGCCGGTCCAAAGAAAGATACAAACATAGATTTTCTTCTAAAAACAGCTATTTGGTTTAAATAATAGTATGTATTTTGTGTATCAAAATGTTCATTATAAATTATATGAGTTTTGCTACATGTATCTAAATACCAAAGTTGATGTTTTTTTATTATTAATCTTAAGGGATATTAAAAATTGTACATTTTTTAGTGAGTGTTGGCTTGAGGCAAGGCTTACATATTTATTTTATTTATTTTATTTGTTTAGTAAAATAAATTCTATATTCTTTCTTATTTTATTTCACTCACACAAAAAAATTAATAATACATCCTTGTCTACAGGAAAACTAACGGAATTAGAATTTCTCGTTTTTTAATCTTCAGACTTTCAAACTAAGTATAGAAAAAGATAACCATCTTGCGCTTTCCTATTTCACAAGAGGACTAAGCTGTCATCATCTGGGAAGGTAATAATTCATGGGATAAAATGAAATGACTTTTATTGATATAAATCTGATTCTCTACTGATTCCCTTGTTGAATCAATAATGCAAGATGCCTACAAAATCCCACTATGCGTTTTTCCAATTTGTAGTTATTTATACTTTAATGTAGTCTGGGACTATTTTGTCATCCCTATTAAATTCTTTGTCTTGTAGATTTTTTTTTACTGCTCACCGGCTCATTTAGTCAGATGTTTGGGAGATTAATTTCTAAGCTCAAAGTAAATCTTGCCGTGGTAGAAAGATTGGTAATAGTAAGTAATGGCTTGTTATATTGATTCCTCATAGTAAATATCAAAGTTTTTTTTGTTTCCATTCACAGGTTTGCTGAAGCTGAGGCAGACTTAAACGCAGCAAAAGCTTTAATCAAAGGAGATGATATAAATTACAAGCAGCTCGGAGCTCCCATTGTTCTAGCTACAAAAACAGTAATAATCTTAGATCAGTACTTGTTCAGTTACTGAATAGTTTGTGAATCAACATTATAAAATAATTTAACATTTTTGTTAATTTAAATTTTAACGTTGTCTTTTTACATAGAAAGATCGGTC